AGGGGGCTGCTGTTGGTTTGCGGCGAAGCCGGGGCAAGCAGGGGATTCAGCACCGAGCTGGGGGAAAAAAAACCAAAAGACCAAAAAAAAAAAAAAAAAAAAAAAAGTAAAATGCGAGTGGGGTAGAAAGATATGAATTGCTTGTCTATATGGGACAAACAGTAAACCAGCAGCTTAGAGACCCACTGTAAACCTTTGTAACCTTCCCCCGTTTATTCCAAAACAAATACTCTCACACCCTTAACTGATACATAAGAGATCAATGCACTACAGAGCACACAGCGCAGTGCTTGTCATGTGTAATCTAACTGAGCAGACTTTCCAGTCTCAGCTTCTTACAAGAAAAGTTAAGACTGTAGAACAACAGCGGCACTGAAGAACGCTCTGTCTTGAGCTGGGGCTGCCACTTAGTTGCAAGACCTCAGGTAAACTACTTCAGTATCCTATTTTATTTAAAAAATATTTTATATATTATTTTTATTTTATGTGTATGAGTGTGTTGCCTGCATGTGCACATAGAAGCCAGGCATGGTGGCATGAACCTTTAATCCCAGCACTCAGGAGGCATAGGCAGATGGACCTCTTTGAGATCAAGGCCAATCTGGCTTTCATGGTTAAGTTCCAGGCCAGCTTCAGCTACAGGGAGACTCTGCCTCAAACAAAACCAACCAACCAACCAACCAAAAAACCCTCACTAAATTAAATAAAATACATTATTAATTATTTTTATTTTATGTGTATGGGTGTATTGCCTGTGTGTGTGTAAGTGCCCCTGTGTGTCGTGCAATGCCTGTGGAGGTCAGAAGTTGTTGGATCCCCTGGAACTGGAGTTACAGACAACTGTTAGCTGCCACATGGGTGCTGGAATTTCAACAGCCAGTGTTCTTAACTGCTGAGGCATCTCCCCAGGCCATAATTAAACACATTTTAAAAGCATTTTTTTGTGAATCAAAAACCATATGCTAAATCAGATACAGAACTCAGGAGGCTCTGTAGTTCAAGGCCAGTCTGAGCTACGCTTTTTCAACAAATTCCCTTCCCTTGACATATGGTGGTAGCTGGTCTCTAGGTCTTCTTTCTTAAAAGCAATTTTAACAAAAAGCAAGCCATGAAGGTGGCACAAACCTGTAATCCCAGCACTTGGAAGGTGAGGCAGGAGAATCAAGAGTTCGCAGTCAGCTTTAGCTACAAAGTTGAGTCTGAGGTCACCCCCCTACAGCCTGCCACAAAACAAAACAAAACAAAAGGTGGCTGAAGAGCACTGGCTGGTCTCAGAGGACCCAGGTTTGAGTCCCAGCACCGCATAGCAGCTAACAACCATCTGTAACTGCAGTTCCAGGGGATCCGCTCTCCTCTTTGGTCCTCCACGAGGACTGCATGACATGGGTGCATTTACATACATGCAGGTAATACACTCATATACATTTAAAAAACAAAACACAATCCCTTTAACAATGCGGGAGCTGGGTGGTACACACTGTAAATCTCAGCACCCAGCAGACTGAGGCAGGAGAACTGCTGTTGAGTTCCAGGCCAACCAGGCCACAGGGGCCCCATTCCAACAGCCAGAATGGAGATGAAGAAACATAGTCAAATTTAAATTTTTTGGTTTCGTTTTTAGAAAGAAACTTATTTCCCCTCCCCCAGTTTCTTTAATTTTTTTAAATTTTATTTACAGATGGCTATTAGTCACCATGTTAATTCTGAGAACTGAACCCAGGTCCTCTGCAAGAGTAGTCAGTGCTCTTAACTGCTGAGCCATCTCTCCAGTCCTTCCTCCCTTAGTTTTATTAAGGCATAACTTGCGAATAAAAGTTAAATATAACACAGAATGCTTTGATACATGCATACACTGTCAAATGACTGACTCAAACTAATTATCATGTATTGTGCATTAATAAAAAATAAATTTAGAGGGTTGGGTATCTCAGTAGTTAAGAACACTTGCTGCTCTTGCAGAAGACCCAGGTTCCACATGGCGGCCCTCATGTGGCGGTTCACAACGGTCTGGAACTCCAGTTCCAGGAGACTGGACACCCTCTCTGGACTCCAAGGATAAGACATGTGGTACACATATATAAATGGAGGCAACACACCCATACACATAAAAATTAATTAAATAAAAAGTTGTCCTCTGTACTACTGCACATACACACCCACATTCACACATGACACACAATAACAAAAGAGAAATAAATACACAGGTGCACTTACCTACATGCAGGCAATATACGCACACACATGAAATAAAAATAAAGAAAAAAAAATTTAAGGGGCTGGAGAGATGACTCAGCAGTTAGGAACACTGGCGACTCTTGTAGAGGATCCAGGTTTGGATCCCAGCACCCAAATGGCCTTTATCCACCTTCTGTAACTCTAGCAGTGCCTGAGGATCCTACACTTTCTTCTGGTCTCTGCAGGCACTGCATAACATGGGTGGACTTATGACACATGCAGGTTAAAAACACTCATAAAATAAAAATAAATTAAAAAAAGTTAAACCTGGCATGGTGGGACATGCCTGGAATCCTAGCACTTGGAAGGCTGAAGCAGGAGGACTCAGCCTGAGATAGATATACATTCATATACATAAATATATATGACTGACACACATAGTGAAACTTTGTCTTAATAAAAAATTACTGGTCACAGTGGCTCATGCCTATCATCCTATGATCCCAGCATTTTGAGAGGCCGAAGTAAGAGAATGGCTAGAAGTTCAAAGAGACTGGACTACATACAGAGTTTTAGGTCAGCTTGGGCTATAGAGTGAAATCTTTTCTCTAAAACAAAAACATAAATTAAAGCTATTAGTCTACCCACTAGTCACTATACACATTTTTTTTTTTCCTTTTTTTTGGTCTTTTTGAGACAGGTTCTCCCTATAGTCCCAATTGGCCTGAAATTCACTATGTAGGCCAGGCTGGCCTTGAACTCAAAAGAGAGATCTGCCGAGTGCTGGGATTAAAGGCGTGCACCACCACAACTAGCCTCACTATACACATTTTAAGTTGCTCTTAAGATAAACACTGTTAGCATTTACATTATCATCAACTTTGGTAAACAGAAGAAACTTTAATATATGCATCCATGTAAGTCTATTTAACTCTAATTTCTCCCCAAGTAATCTTCCAATAGGCAATTCATTTAATGTGAGTGAAATTTTTTTTTTTTTTTTTTTTGGTGTTTTTGAGACAGGGTCTCCCTGTAGCCCCAGCTGCCCTGGAACTCACTATGTAGACCAGGCTGGCCTTGAACTCAAGAGATCCACCTGCCTCTGCCTCCCAAGTGCTGGGACTAAAGGTGTGTGCCGCCATGCCCAGCCGAAATTCTTATACTATAATACAATATATAAGACTAGCCACAGTTGGAAAAATTGAGATTAGTTTAAAATTAATGAGAATTTACCATACCTAATTCTAAGAACTTGGTTGTAAAACTCATACTGTCTACTTCAATGATCTTGCAAAACTACATTCTTTTTTTTGGGGGGGGGGTCTTTTTGAGACAGGGTTTCCCTGTTAGCCCCAGCTGACCTTGAACTCACAGAGATCCACCTGCCTCTGCCTCCTAAGTGCTGGGATTAGAGGCGTACACCACCACACCTGGCATGTGCTTATAACATTTCTGTATCTCATCTGTTTCCTGTTTTTGTTGTTCTTAATGCTTTTGGTCAGGGTCTGATGTAGCCCAGGTTGGCTCCAAACTCACCATATGAAGCTTATTATTATAAAAACTTTACTATTCAAGTAAACAAAGTCTGGGTTTAAAGTTTTTTAAAATATCCAAATCCTTAATCAAAATCTCTTTTAAGTCAACTAGTACGCAGCCAGCATGTCACAATATTACTCCATGACACTCAACAATGCTAAAAATGACTCAGCAAAAACCTGTACTGGTGTTTGCATTAGCAAATACTAACAGGCATCTTATTCTCTGCTACACATTGAGTTAAGAGCTCTATACACCTGTTTTCATTTAATCCTTACAATAAAACACTTTCAAGTAAAGAACTGCTATTTCTGTTTCATGTAAGAGGAGAATAAATATGAATGGGACTTGCCCAACATAATGAAATCAGTATGTTCTGGAGGCCAAATTTAAAGTGAAAATACTGTGTTAGAAGTAACTGAGGCCTGAGGATGCAGCTCAGCTGGTAGAAGTGATTTCCTAGAATGCACAAAACCTCGGCTGTATTGCCAGCACTGCATAATTGGTGTGGTGGCCTATGCCTATAATCCCAGCACACAGGAGATGGAAGTCAGGACTGGAGAGATGGCTCAGCAGTTAAGGGCACTGGCTGCTCTTCCAGAGGCTCTGAGTTCAGTTCGCAGCACCCACATGGCACTGTAACTCCAGTTCCAAGGGATCTTGGCACTCTCTTCTGCCCTCTGTGGGCACTGCATGACCCAGATAAACTTACATACAAGCAGGCAAAACACTCAAACACATAAAATAAAAATAAATAATTCATTAATTAAAAAAAAAAAGTAGGTTTAAAGCCTGAGGTCTTCTGAAAGCTTTTTTCTTCGCTGAATTTAGCCATTCAAAAACCACGTTTAGAACACTGAAACATTTGTTAACATATGATTCAATTCAGTGATCAAAGGTAGAAACAGATGCTCACCCCCAATGGTACTCTCCTGAAATTCATGGAACTGGCCCTTCACAAAGCGAAGCACCAGGCTTGACTTGCCGACAGCAGACTCTCCTAGAAGTACCAGTTTGAACTGGCATATTTTATTTCCAGTATTTGGCCCGTTGGGTCTTGTTGCTCCTCGATTAGCCATGTCCAGGTTTCAAAGAAGTCCCTAACTGCAGACTCCTAAATGAACTTCCAGGATGCAAGGTATCAATTTTTTTCTTTCTGGAGGAGATACCTGTGAAGAAACAAATAATAATTTAATAAACAAATCAAAACAAAGTAATTCAGTATTAATAAGTTTTGCCCAGAGCACACTGCATGATAATGGTAACTCAAATGGACAGAGGATGTCACTTACCACACTCCACCACCTTTGAAAAGAAATAATGGTTTAAGATTAGAGCTGAAAATCACTCCAAGCCAACCTTCAGAAGGGGACAAGGAGAAGGCTAAAGGGAAGGAAGTGCATGGAGAGAGGGTGATAGTCTGACATGAGCAGAAGAGGACAGCTAGAGCAGGAGAGGGCAGAAGAGAGGAGGGTGGGCAGGGCAATGGGAAGGGAGCAGCAGAGGGGAGCACCACAGTGGAACCCATTTCCTTGTAAGCTAGCCAACAAGAAAGAAAAAGGCTAACTTTCAGTAGGGCATAGTAGTGACAGCTTGTAATCCCAGCACTTGGGGAAGCTGAGGCAAGAGTTCAAGGTCAACATGGGCTACAGAGCAAGATCTTATGCAACCCCCTCCCCCCGAAAAAAAAGAAGGCTAGAGAGATGGTTCAGTGGTTAAGGGCACACACTGCTCTTCCAGGAACCCCAAGTTCAGTTCCCAACACCTACTGAGGAAGCTCACAACTGCCTGAACTCCAAATCCAGGGAATCCAACACCCTGTTCTGGCTTCGGTGTGCAATGTATTCACATGCACATACCCTGCCCCCTACACACAACTGAAATTAAAAAATAAAAAAAAATTTAGGGCTGAGAGATGGCTCAACAGTTAAAAGCACTGGCTGCTGCTCTTGCAGAGGACCCGAGTTTCATTCCCAGTACCTGCACAGAGCCTGACAACTATCCATTAAGTCCAGTTCCAGGGGACCCAACACCCTATTTTGGCCTCTGCAGGCACTGCATGCACATAGTTCACCTACATACATGCAGGCAAAACACTCAAACACGCAAGATAAAAAACTTAAAAAGAAACAAAAAAAATCTTTACAGTCAGAAGGGGTGGTATTTGCCTTTAATCCCAGCACTCAGGTGGCTCTTAGTTCGAGGCCAGACAGGGCTGCACAGTGAGACCCTGTCTCAAAACAAATTAATTCAGAGTAGACTTTGGAGCTAGGGATTGGAAGAATGCTTGCCTAGCACTCACCAGATACAAGATTAAAAAAAACTGACTCTGGGCTAGGCAGTATTTTACATACTTAGCATGGACACTGAATAATATAAAATACCGTTACAATTCTTACAACTGAGGAGCTGAGCATAGAAACGTTAAGTAACTTAATTCAGACCACACAGTAACTGTTCAAGAGGTGAGCAGCTGAGTTTGGTGGCGCACGCCTTTAATCCCAGCACTTGGGAGGCAGAGGCAGGCAGATTTCTGTGAGTTCAAGGCCAGCCTCGTCTACATAGTGAGTTCCAGGACAACTGGGGCTACAGGGAGACCCGGAGACCCTGTCTCAAAAAAAAAAAAAAAAAAAAAAAAAAAAGTGAGCAGCTGAGTTTCAAACCCAGGCAAACTGAGAGTTGAATCAAGAATTCATGTTTGGGTCTGGAGAGATGGCTCAGGGGTTAAGAGCACTGGGTGACTGGCTGCTCTTACAGAGGACCCTGGTTCAAGTCCCAGCACCCACATGGCAGCTAATAATCATCTGTGATTCCAGCTCCAGGGGATCTGATGCCTTCTTCTGACCTCCTCCTGACCTCCTGTGGGCATTGCATGACACAGGTGCACTTACACACATGCAGGCAATACACTCATACATAAAATAAAAGGAATTCATGTTTGGCTGGAGAAATGGCTCAGTGGTTAAGAGTATACGCTGCTCTTCTAGACTGAGGGGACTTGCACACCCATGAATACACCCAAGTATGTGTAATTAAAAGTAATAAAATAAATCTTGGGGTCCAGAGAGATGGCTTAGTGGTTAATGTTCTTGCAGAGGACCCAGGTTCGATTTCTGGCACCCACATGGTGGCTAACCGTCTGTTAACTCCAGATCCAGAGGATCTGATGCCCTCATTTGACCTCTTTGGGCACTGCACCACACAGATGCATTTACATACATGCAGGCAATACACTCATACACATAAAATAAATAAGAATGTTTTAAAAATTCAGGTTCTAAAGTCACCCTACTTTGGTTACAATTATGGTGTTAAAAAAAAATTCTTTTTGGTCTTTTTGACAAGATCTCCCTGTAGCTCCAGCTGGCCTAGAAATCACTATGTAGACCAGGCTGGCCTTTACCTCAAAGACCGGCCTGCTCATACCTCCTGAGGGCTGGGATTAAAGGTGTATTGCCACCAAGCCCGGCTGGTGAAAATTTTAAGGAAAGTTATGTAAGTAAACAGAATGCCTCTAGAACAAATGGTACGGTTTAACATTTGATGCTCTCTTCATTTACTAATAATTTCCAAACAACATATATTTAATATTTTAATTTTATGTATATGAGTGTTTTGTCTGCATGTAAGTGTACCACACATGTGCAATGCCTGCAGAAGTCAGAAGAGGGCATCAGATCCCCTGGAACTGGAGTTAAAGACGGTTGTCAGCCAGCTTGTCGGTGCTGAGTAGCAAATCCAGGTCCTCTGGAGGAAAAAGGTTAAGCATTCTTAACTGCTGAGTCATCTCTCCAGTTCTACCACACACACACACACACACACACACACACACACACACACACACACACACACGCTTTGTCTTGAGACAAGGTCTCCCTGTAGCCCCAGCTGGCCTGGAACTCACTATGTAGACCAGGCTGGCCTTGAACTCACAGAGATCCACCTGCCTCTGCCTCCCAAGTGCTGGGATTAAAGACGTGAACCACCACACCTGGCCACACAAATATTTTAAGTTCCCAGGTTTCTGTGTTCAGCTTATGAGAGTCTCTGGTAAAATTAGGAGTGACTTATACTAATTGCATTTTTTTTTTTTGGTAGTTTAGGGCTAACAATATATACTATTATTTTTCTATTTCAGTATACATTTGGAAAAAGCTAGCTTCGGTGACAATCCCCTCCACTCCTCTTTAGACAGAGTCTCACCAAGTAGCAGAGGTTGGTAATCTTCATACTTCAAGAGCTAGGATTACAGACCTGCACCATCACACCCAACTTTTGTTTCCAATCTCAGTGGTATAAATATCTGAAGCTCCCTTTTCAGTTTACTCATAAGTCAACCTCAATAGTTTAGTCTCACCTTTTATATGCAAACCTGTAATCCTAGTGCCCAGTAAGGAGGAAGAGGGACTGGGAGGTCTTCCTGAGGCTAGCCTGGGCTCAGTGGGTAAAGATGCTTGCTATGCAAGCCTGATGACCTGGGTTCAGATCCTGGGAACCCATGTAGGGTGAAGGCAAGGACCAACCATCAGGCTGTGCTGACCTCCAAATGCACCTTCACACAGAAACACACATACCATACAACACACATACATCATAGACATACACTAAACAATAAATATGCTTATAAGCTTAACAAAATATACTAACATTAATGGTTCCTTCCCTAAAAATTCCATCTAAAATCCTTGCTGTATTTTATTTACTACTTCAGGTATGAAATCTGTATTCCCCATCAAATTTGAATTTATACAAGAACACTCTTGATAAAGACAAATTCATTAATAAATGTATCCATGAGATTTTAGTTCTTAAGAAAATAAAACTACCTCTTAGCCTTATCTGTTTTGAAAACTCATTTTTTTTACCAATAAACACTGACATATTTGTAGATCAAATGATAGCTCTGAGCTGCTACCAACCAAAAGGGCATAAATAAAACTACTTACTCTTCCAGCCTGACACGATGGGGCATGCCTGTAATTGCAGCACTTAGGGATCTGAGACAGGATGACTGCCGTAAGTTTGAATCAAGCCTGGGCTACATAGTAAGTGGCAAGGCTAGTCAAGAGTTATACAGCAAGACCCTGTCTCAACAAAACTCCTTTCATCTCACCCACAAAACAAACCAGATTTGACTCTAGTCCTGGCTTTGCCACTTCCTGCCTGAGGAAATTCTGTAATTTACGAGTCTCTATTTTCTTTCTTTTCTTTTTGTTTTTTAAGACAGGATCTCCCTGTAGTCCCTACTGGCCACGAACTTGCTATGTAGACCTGGTCTTGAACTCAGAGATCCACCTGCCTCAGTCTCCCAAGTGCCACCATGCCCGGCTGCAAATCTCTATTTTCATAGTACAGTAACCTGTACAGTTGCTGTGAGAACTAAGTAAGACAGCATACATAATCTCGAATACAGCACCTACTAACTACAGTGTCTGAAATTGGCAGTTAAAATGGCCTTTTGATGAAATTGTGCTTATACATCAATAGACTGTCACGCAGACTGAAAAAGAACCAAAACATTCGCACATAACATACACTATCAACTTCCCTTCCCAGCTGTCCCTTACATGAAAGTCACACTTACCCACCTCCTGAGTGTTAGGATTACAGGCATGAGCCACCACACCCGCCTCTTACAAAGTTTAAAGCTATCGAATTTCTACTATCAAGGATGAGCCAAATTATAAGCATACATACATTTACCATAAAGATTAAAAATTTCCAGCGAGGGCTGGGGATACAGCTAGAGCGCCAGCTCAGTATGCAGAGGCTAAGTTCAGTCCCCAGCACCACAAGAAAAAGAAAAAACAAAGTTACATGCAATCACTTGTACTCACTCATTGAAACTTGCGTCTTATTCTGCAAAGCAAAACTTTTGCATGATATGCATTTTAAATCTTGAAAATAAGTATTCGACAGAGTCCTTTATTTAGATGGTCTCTGAGTGAAAATCCCACTGAGCCCTACACGTGTGCCAGGCACTGTTCCGTGCTCTCTGCCTGCAGCCCTATGGGTTCAAATCATACATGAAGAAGCGGAGTCTGGGCAGCCCTGAACACTCCTAGAGATGCACACGTAGGTGGTTTTGAAAACGAATTTCGAGCACGGCAACTGATCAGCACTTCCATTCCACTTCAGCAAGACAAAAACTACGCCAGGAGTGTCATTCTCAGCCCCAAACTTCTGGGAGTGCTTGGGACAACGCTTCCCGGAAGCCCCGACGGGGCGGCCCGTCCCCCCCGAGTGTCCTCGGCCCTGGACTCCCGTTCTGCAGCGCCGGTCCGTGCCAGTCGCGGGGAGGCAAACTGCTGTCCCCACCTGCCGGAGGCCCGGTAGCCGAAAGCCAGCAGCCGACGCCCGGTCCGGGGAGGGGGGGGCAGCCGCCCTCCCGCGCCCCAACCCCGGCCTGGAGGGGACCGAGACCCCGCGACGGCGGCCGGGCCCTCCGTGGCCTCCCGGCGCTTCCCGCGGCGCCATCTTGGGAAGGCAGAGGGTGACACCCGGGGCTCCCGCACCGGTGCCCCGGTCCCGGGATGAGTCACCGCGGTGGCGGGAGCGCGGCGGACGTAGGCCGCGCCCGGCCGGCAGCTCACCTGGGGCCGCGGCTCCCGGCAGCCAGGCCGCGCCCGGGAGTCGTCGGAGGCGGCGGCTGCGGCAAGCACTGTGCTCACACTGGCCGGCGCGGGGCTCCGAGCGCGCTGCCGCCCCTGCCCGGCTCCGTCTCCGCCTCTGCGCTCCGCCTTCCGCCCTCCTCTGTCCTCCTCCGCGGCTGCCGCCGGCTCGGGCCGACCAGGACTTCCTCCGCCTCCTCCCGCCTCCGCCTCCTCCCCTCAGGCCGGCCCGGCTCCTGCAGAACCAAAACACAAACACTCCAGTCCCAGCGCCGGAACCACTTCCGCCACCCGGCGCCGGCTCCGCCGCCACGTCGCCGCACGCAGGCAAGCACGCCGTGTGGTCACGTCCGGTCGCTGCCCCCTTTTCAGCCGCTCAGTCCGGCCATAGCTGAGGGGCGGGGCGGGGCTGGCATCACGTGACCTCGCGGAAGCCAGCTCTAGCAGGCCTGCCGGCTCTGTCTCTTCCCTGAGGGCACGCGGTCCCGCCCTCGCCAGCGCCATTGGACTCCCAGGGCCTGAGCCTGAAGGGCGGGGCAGGGCCTGCGTCACGTGACTCCATGGTTAGCCCGGCCCTCGCGTCCTAGCCAGCGCCATTGTTATGGGGCGGCCAACGCCGGCATGGAGCCTTAGGGGCGGGGCCAGAGTCAGAGGGGCGTAGCCGGGCCCGTCACGTGTCCCCGCCCACCGTCGGGCTGGCGCCTGCTCCACCTGCTCAGCTGAGCCCTCACCAGCGCCATTGTCAACGGGTCGGGCATCGCTAGGGAGAACCTGAGGGGCGGGGCCAGAGCCAGGGGGCGGAGCCAGGTTCGCATCACGTGACTCCTTCGGCCATCAGGCCGGACCCAGCTTGGTTTGCCAGGCGCTCAGCTCTGCCCTCGCCAGCGCCATTGTTATGGGGCGGGCATCGCTGGGTTGGGCCTCAGGGGCGGGGCCTGCCTTGCGTCATGTGTTCCCGCCCACCGTCCGGCTGGAATCTGCCTGGCCGGCCGGGCGTTCACAGCTGTGCCCTCACCAGAGCCATTGTTACCCCGGGCCGGCAGCGCTGGGCCGGAGCGTTGGGGGCCGGACCCGCGCCACGTGACCCCTCGCGCCGGCGGGCTGAGCCTGCCGGGTCTGCGGGGCGCTCAGCTGTGCTCTCTCCCCAGCGCCATTGTTAGCGAGACGGGCAGCACAGGGCAGGGCCTAGGGGCGGGGCGCGAGCTGAAGGGGCGGGGCCTGGGCCTGCATCACGTGACGCCGCCGTATCGCGCCACCTGCGCCACCTGCGCCACCTGCGCTTCCAGGAGGCCGGCACACCCCAAGCAGGTCCTAGCTTTTACCGGGCAGCGTTGCAGTCCCTCGGTCCTCGACGTTAGGGCAGAACCACCCCAAGGTGCGCCCACCGTGGCAGCTGCCCAGCACGGCGCCTGGTGTCCTGGAGGCCGGTCCTGCTTGTGGAGGCAATGCACGAGGCGTGCCCATTTTACAGGTGGAAAGACTGAGTCACTGCCTGTGTGCAGATGATTCTCTCCTGCTGCAGAGCCGCATTGCTAGGATTCCGAGCACAGCCACCCGCGCTCCAGGCTCTTCGAGCGCGCAGGTTTGCTTAGTCCTCACACTTGTGCAGTCCCAGGCAAGTCACCCAAAGCCGGCCAGAACGAAAAATAGGATGCTTGTACATAAATGAGTTTATCTGTAGAGAGTTAAACTGACTTTCCTCAGAGGCAGGGCTTCGTTCCAGTTTGATTTATAGCCCTGTTTATGAATGCTTTGAAATCCACTCCCTAAACCTCCCCTGCGGTTACTCCCCTGCCTCCATCCCCACACTTCCTTCTCAGCTTCATTGTTAAACCCTGAGCCCACTTCGTGCACATGGACGTGCATGGACGTGGGGCCATCCACTGGAATACGGGCAGCCTTTCAGCACATGCATCCGGAGAAAACTTGACACCCCCCCCCCAAGCCATCAGTTGCCAGTTACTCCTTGTCTAGAGATAGAACTTGCGGTCTCCTCCCATCCATGCTGGACTTTTGCCTGCCTTGATCGTGTACAGGTCTTGTGTGCACAGTCACAGCCGCAATGAATGAAGCGTCATCCCTGTCACCTCTGGAAAGCCCTGTTTCTTCCGAGTACCGCTGGCCTGCGGTGCTGGCTCATTCCACATTGTGAAATAAGACGATCTGAACCTTGCACAGCCAGTCTTTGAGATCACCTTCCCCATTACCAGAAGGGCAGAATGGGTCACAGGTAAGTGGTACCTTGGCACTTTATCCCCAAGGGCTGACTGTCCCATGTGGCGTACCAGTCATGTTAATAGCTTGTGGACAGTCCCAGGAAATAGGATATGTCACATCAATTTGGTCTTGTCAACATGTCCCAAAGCAGCCCGGTCTCCCCACACCCAAACTTGAAGTGAACTGCAGCATCTTCATCGAGTCTTCTTTCCCTCATAAACCAGTATCCATTTTACCCTCCATAATCGTCTCCTCCAAAGTTTGTCTAATCCCAGTGTGTGGACCATGCCAGTGTTCACATGAACTGGCATTAACACACACCTTTTTAGTTCGTTAACTACACAGTCACCACTCCCTCTCTGACTCAAAAATATTCAACAGGATCTCATTGTTTGCTAACTGGAGTCAGTTCTTCAACTCTGATTTCAACTCACATTTCCTTCATTCTATTTTTTGTTCGTCTATTTACTCTGTGTGTGTGTGTACGTGCACATGCCACAGGCGTGTGTGTAGGTCAAAGGACAATTTGCAGTTGATTCTGTCCTTCTCTGTGGGCCCTGGGTATCCGGCTCAGGGCATCAGGCTTGGCAGCAAGTGCCTTTACCCACTGAGCCCTCCTGCCAGTCCTCTCATCTAGAGCTTCCCTCTCCCCAGACTTGCTTTGTGCTCGGGCCTCGTTTCCACTCTTCCCTGAAGAATGCCCTCATGTTCCCAACCTGACATCTTTGCTCTCTACCTGGAACACCATTACATCATCGTGGCTGGTCTCATTCAGCCAGGACGCCAGTTCCTCTAGTCAGTGTCTAAGGAAACGTCTACTGAATTATTTTTTGTTACTTTCTTTACTCTCTGTAATGACTCTAAAGTCTGCCCCATTTTATAGTTAGCTTTTTTGTTCGTCTATTTACTCTGTGTGTGTACGTGCACATGCCACAGGCGTGTGTGTAGGTCAAAGGACAATTTGCAGTTGATTCTGTCCTTCTCTGTGGGCCCTGGGTATCCGGCTCAGGGCATCAGGCTTGGCAGCAAGTGCCTTTACCCACTGAGCCCTCCTGCCAGTCCTCTCATCTAGAGCTTCCCTCTCCCCAGACTTGCTTTGTGCTCGGGCCTCGTTTCCACTCTTCCCTGAAGAATGCCCTCATGTTCCCAACCTGACATCTTTGCTCTCTACCTGGAACACCATTACATCATCGTGGCTGGTCTCATTCAGCCAGGACGCCAGTTCCTCTAGTCAGTGTCTAAGGAAACGTCTACTGAATTATTTTTTGTTACTTTCTTTACTCTCTGTAATGACTCTAAAGTCTGCCCCATTTTATAGTTAGCTTTTCCTTAACCTTTCATTCCCTTATGAGTTTAAAGTTCTTAAGGACAGTCATCATTCATTTGTTCTGTTTTGAAAAAGAGTCTCCCTATGTAGCACAGGCCTGCCTTGAACTCACAGTAGTGATCCACCTGCCTCTGCCTCCCGAGTGCTGGCAATAAAGTGTGTGCCAACACACCTAGCATTCAAAATGTAATTAAGTTCAAATATTTTTGGGGTCCTTATTCTATCAAGTAGAAGTCTTTTGTGAAAAACTAAAATGATAATGACCAAAGGTTCTGGTCCTTAAAAACGTTAATAAAGACATTTCAATACAGGTTTAAGCATGGCAGTTAAGAAGCTCTCAGAGGTAAGTAAGACACACATATTCTTTGGCCTGTCTTGCCTTCCATCTTCTTCAAGAAGCCGGTGCCCATGCCATCTCTCAGGCCTGTTTTACTTAAAATATGCTGGGTAGGCCAGGTTTCAGCATCACAGACAAGAAGTGCAGGACAGGCTGCACTGGGGCCACACACAGAATCAGCAAAGAGGAGGCCATTCGCTGGTTCCAGCAGAAGTATGATGGGAATCATCCTTCCTGGCAAATAAATTCTATCCAAAAGGCCAATAAGATTTTCTTAGAAATGTAATATATATATATATATCCCCGGCTATACTTCATAAATAAAAAGAATGGAGAAGGTTTGACTTAAGATGATCTCACAAGGCCAGTGAGATGGCCCAGCAGGGACGGGTGCTTGCCACTAAGTCTGACCACCTGATTCAGTCCCTGGAGCTCACATGATAGGAGGGAACTGACATGAGTTGTCCTCTGATCTCTACATGAGCGCTATAGAACAGCCATCAGTGTACACCTGCCTTCCCACACAAGATAAATGTTATATTTCATCTGTCCAGAGTATTGCTTCCTCATTCATCTACTTATTTTGCCTTTTAATTCTTCATGAATGCGTTCCATATTATTTAACAGTTTAGCCCTGGTGTCTCCTTGGAAGTACTCTGACCTCATAGCTAGCACTTTTAGAGATCTGGTAGTATTTTTTTGGTCTTCTTTGAGACAGGGTCTCCCTGTAGCCCCAGCTTTCCTGGAACTCACTATGTAGACCAGGCTGGCCTTGAACTCAGAGATCCGCTTGCCTCTGCCTCCCAAATGCTGGGACTAAAGGTGTGCGCCACCACGCCTGGCTAGATCTGGTAGTATTTTTATTTTGGCCTTAGAACAGGGATGTCCACGCGTTTATCATACACTTTGTCTAATGGTAATTAAAAAAATTTATTTTTATTATGTGCATGAGTGTATTGCCTACATGTATGTAAGTGCACCCGTGTCATGCAGTGCCCAAGGAGAACAGAAGAGGGTGTCAGATCCCCTGGTACTGGAGTTACAGTTGCTGCCATGTGGGTGCTAGGATTTGAACCTGGGTCTTCTTCAAGAACAGCCTGTGTTCTTAACTGCTGAACCATCTCTCCAGCCCCCCAACAGTCATTTTAGAGAAAATGGAATACCAAGAAAGGCTTTGCTATTAGGGTGCTACTCATGATGTGCCCATGTTTTCTTTTTTCTAAGCCCAGATAACCGACAATGGGTTATCTGTCAAAATAAACCCTTCCTTTTCTAAGTTGATTTTATTAGTTATTTTATCACAGCACTGAGAAAAGTCATGGAGACACTTAACTCTAATAAAAGCCATAAAACCAGGCAAAGGGAAAATGCTGTTGAAACTTGACCTGGGGAGGAGGCTGAGCACTTGCTGTGAAGCATGAGCACTTGAGTTCCTATCCCAGTGCTCACATCAAGAGCCGGGCTTGGTGCAGAAATGACTCCAGCAATGAGAGAGGCGGGGATAGGTGGGTCACAGGGCATGCTGGCTGTCAGCCTAGCTCCTGTTCCTTGAGAGGCCCTCTCTCAAGGAAATAATGTAACGACATCTTCCGCTGGCCTCATTGTGTGTACAGGCTCACACAGGTGTGCAGGCATGCCCCTTCCTCCCACCCCCAGCAAAACCCACTTTAGCTGATCTTGTTTAAAATGATTGTGCTCAACGTTAGAATGTATGCTTAGTAAGAGCTGGGCTTTGGTGCTGGATAGCTTTAGTGTCAACTTGACACGGGGGTTGAGCGAGCCACAATTGGAGAATTTTCTGTATTGGACTGGCCCGTGGCCATGTCTGTGGGGCATCTTCTTGATTGTTGAGTGATGTGGAAGGGCCTAGCCCATTGCGGGTGGGTGGTGCCATCCCTGGGCAGGTGGGCCTGTGTTGTATAAGAAAGCAAGCTGAGCAGGGACCAGGGGAGCAAGCCAGTAAGCAGCATTCCTCCATGGCCTGTGCTCCAGCTCCTGCCTCAGGTTCCTGCCCTGAGTTCCCACCTTGGGCTCCCGGATGAACTGTGACCCACAGTATGTAAGCTAAATAAACCCTTTCCTTTCCAAGTTGGTAGTGGTCAGAGTATTTTGTCACAGCAATGAAGAACAAACTAGGACAGCACCCAAAATTAAATAGCTTGTGTCTTTGAAGGGCGTAGTTCAGGCTTGTATTAGTTACTTTTCTTTATTGCTATGATAAAATAGCCTGACAAAAGGCAAGTTAGGGAAGAAAGGGTTTATTTTGACTTAGAGTTCCAGAGTGCTAGAATTCATCGTGTCAGGGAAGGCACGCAGCAGGGAAGCAAGCATGGTGTCAGGACAAGAACAGGAAGTGGTGAAGCTGTCAAACCTCAAAGCCCGCCCCCTCTAACATACTTCCTCCAGTAAGGGTCTGCCTCCTAAAGGCTCCATAACCTCCCCAAACAGTGCCAGCAATTGGAGACCAAGTGTTCAAACTCATGGTCCTATGCAAGGCATTCCTCATCCAAACCACCGCAAGGTCACTTGCTCATAGGACTTCTAAGCCACCAGTTCTAAAGGACTTTCCTCTGTGAAAAGCATCCTGTTTTCTTTGTAATACTTAAGACTATCTGAAATGATTTTATTGGTTCAATTGATGGTTTCCCATTCCTGCTAGAATAACAGTTCCATGGTGCAAGAATTGGTTAATGTCCCCTTATGGTTCCAGTACTGACACAGTCGGTACTCAATACATATTTACAGAATGAGTGAACCCTTCCAGAAACATACCCTAATTTCACACTAACAGGTAACTGGAAGAGCTTAGAGGAAGAACATTTATGTTAGTGATCTAGAACATTCTGGAATAAGAACCAAGAGCAGATGTGCACACCTGAAATCCAAGCACTTGGGAGGCTGTTGCAGGAGGATCTGAAAGTCAAGATTACTCTCAGATACGTATTGAATTTACAGGCTGCCTGGGCTGCTTGAAACCCTGTCTCCAAAAAAAAAAAAAAAAAAAAGGTGGGGGGACCAGTGCAGAGATGGTTCAACAGTTAACTGACTGGTCTTGCAAAGGACCAATATTCAGTTCCTAGTGCCCACGTAGCAGCTAACAGCCATCCATAACTTGACTTCTACTTGCAGGCAAAGCACTCATACACATAAAAATAAATAATAAAAATAAATCACTTTTTTGTTATTTAAAAATATTAAAATTTTAAATTATTTTTATTTTATGTGCATGAGAGTATTGCTTGCATGTAGATAGGTGTACCCATGTCATGCAGTGTCCATGGAGGTCAGAATAGGGTGTCAGAGTCCCCTGGAACTGGAGTTATAGATGAGTGTTAGCCACCATGTGGGTGCTGGGAACTGAACATGGGTCCTTTGCAAGAACAGCTAGTGCTCTTAACCGGTGAGCCATCTCTCCAGCTCCAATAAATTACTTTTCTTTTCTCTCTCTCTCTCTCTCTCTCTCTCTCTCTCTCTCCCCCCCTTACTAGATCTCTACGACCTGGCAGCAATGGATCAAAGACACTGCCTTAAACTTCAAGAAACATAAAGCAGAAATGAGGAGGTGGCCAGAATGAATGGAGATTAGGCTGGCCTCAAACTCACAGAGATCCTCCTGCCTCTGTCTCTCAAGTGCTGGGTCTAAAAGTGTGCACTACCACGCCTGGCTCCAATAAATTACTTTTTTAAAGGAGGAGAGTGGGGAGGTGGAGAGATGGCTCAGCATTTAAGAGCACATATTGGTCTTGCAGAGGACCTGAGTTTGGTTCCCAGCATCAGTGTCCAGCTGCTCATAACTGCCTGTAACTCCAGTTCAAGGGATTTGATCCCTGCTGCTGGACTCTGAGGGCACTTGCCCTCACACATGCACAGACACACAGAGACATGTACATATACAACATAATTAAAAATTAAAAAAATCTTTAAAAAAGTTTCCAGGCTTGCAGTCCTATAATCCTCGTCACTTGGGAGGCGGAAGCAGCAGGATTTCAATTCAAGGCCTACATGGGCTACAGAGGGAATTTAAAGTCAGCTTAGGCAACCTAACAGATCCTTGGCTCAAAAGTAAAAAAGGCTGGGGTCCAAGCTTAGTGGTTAAGCACTTGCCTGGCATGTGTGATGCTCTGGGCTCAACTCCCCAGTACCATCAGGAAAGGAAAAAGGTTGAATCCATGGTGGCCACATACATGTAAATCCAACCCTGAGAAGTTGATGCAGGAGGATTTTTGTGTTGGAGGCCAGACTGGGCTGCATAGAGAGACCTCATCTCTATGAAAATGAAAAAGGGTTACTTCAATTTGTAGAATATCCCGTACTTGAGTAATAAAGTTGAACTTGCCACCTTTGAGAAAAATATAATATGTACTATTGTTTAACATCACAACGTTTTTTGGTGGAGATAGGGTCTCACAATGTAGACCAAGTTGCCCTTGAATTTACAGTAATCCTGCCTCTGCCTCCTGGGTGCTAGGATTACAGGTTTGCACCACCATACCCAGCCTTCAAACTTTATTATATGCACTTTAAATGTAATCTGAAGCCTAGTTATTAAACTTTAAGTGTATCTAAAGACTTTGAGATGTTACTGCAAGGAAATATTTTTATACTGTAGCTGTTAAATATAACTTTCTAGAATTTAAAGTAGTTCTTTAAAATATTTATTTAATTTATTGGTCTTTTTGAGACGGGGTCTCCGGGTAGCCCCAGCTGGCCTAGAACTCACTATGTAGACCAGGCTGACCTTGAACTCACAGAGATCTACCTGCCTCTGCCTCCTGAGTGCTGAGATTAAAGGCATGTGCCACCACACCTGGCACCCTAAAATAGTTTTAAATAGAATTTGTACTTACATGGAGATGATAGTAGGGGGGTGGTGTGTACAGGGCACGTGTGGAAGTCAGAGGACAAACTGAGGGAGTCCTCTCCTTCCACCATGTGAGTCCCAGGGATTGGATTCGGTGGTCAGGCAGAGCTGGAGATTTAGCTCAAGGTAGAGAGGTTGTCTAGCACGCCTCGGCTTCTGTGTTGATCCTCAGTACCCGGGCTGTTGAGAACCAGCGTGTGTGTGTGTGTGTGTGTGTGTGTGTGTGTGTGTGTGTGTGTACGGTAGAGAGGTTGTCTAGCACGCCTCGGCTTCTGTGTTGATCCTCAGCACCCGGGCTGTTGAGAACCGGCGTGTGTGTGTGTGTGTGTGTGTGTCTTTAGCACTAAAATAACTCCGTGCAGTGTGGAGATACTGGGAGGTGCAGAAAGTGGTTTGCTACCAGTCAGGAGGTCAACAGTCAGGGATAATCGATCTCAGTCAATGTCTCCCCCACTTCTCTCCCCTCCCTCTCTCCCCTCATCTCTCACCCTTCTCTCTTCCCCCTTCCCCGTTTCCTTTGCCACAGACTGGGCTTAACTCGAGCCTATCCCCCTGCCTCAGCCTCCCGAATTCTGGGATCGCAGGTATGCACCACCACGCCTGGGTCAGTCTCCGGAAACCATCATCATAGGTAGGACTCGTTACCAGGGGAACCGAAGGGAACTTGGCGAACATTTGCCCAGTGCCCCAAAGCTACTTCACCCAGGTTTCCTTGCCCTCTACGTGCAGAAAAGGAAAAGGGCACTGGATGAGAGGCTAACCCCCTGGGAGCGGAGGAGGGCGGGGCCCGTGGGGGAGGAGCCGCTCACCAAGCCCCGCCCCAGGCTGTTTCCCGGGTAACGGGGTAAACAGACTCCCTACCTCCCCAGCCGGCTGCTCCTGGTGGTCCGGCCGCCGGGCGGTCCGGCGAGGATGTGCTCCTTCGTGCGGGTGGGGTCTCCGGCGCTGCACTCCTCCCCGCAGCCCAGCGCCGCGCTCCCCTGCCCGCCGGGCGCCGGGGGCCGAGTGCGCGCACCTGGGGTCGGACACCCGGGCCAGCCGAGAGCAGGTGTAGCCGACCCGAGGCTGCTCTGGAGAGCACAGTCTCCCACGGAACTGGGACAAGAAGATCAAAGATGGGGAGACAGGGTGGCCTCACCGGGAAGCAGCTCTCCGGGGAGCCGTGGGCTTCGAGTGGCTTTGGAAAGACAGACTCTTTCCAGGACGCCCGCGGAGGGGGGCCATTTGGGACTTGACAGGGGCCCAGCCTTCCAGGGAGCAATGCCCCTGGGAGTGTTCCCCGGAAGAGTGGGGCGCCCAAGCGAGTGTCCCCGTGGAAGCCCAGCCCGGCCTCTCCTGAGCACTGTGTTTGCAAGTCCACAGGCTGCGGGGAGCGAGAGGGGAGCCGTGGTCGGTGGTCCTGGCGCGATGGAGGCTTTGCAGCAAGACCAACCTGTTGTGGGCTTGAACCCCAGGACGGATCTGGAAGAAGAGCCTTCCTGCACGGTGGTGGACCCCTGCGCTGACACGAGCCCCCCGGTGGGGGTGGACTTGGGACTGCCACAAACCCAGGAGGCGGCTCCGACTGTGCCTCAGATGGGCTTGGTGACAGAGCCCCTGCAGCGCCCACTTCCCCAACACCCGGAGGAGGAAAAGGAGCCGGAGGAGGAAAAGGAGCCGAGGGGCGCCGAACCCGGAGTGGAGCCTCCCGGCCGCGTCAGACCCATATACTCCGGGAGTTTTTCTGACCGGACGCCTTGCTGGCCAAGTGTAAGGTGTTTTTGTTTTTTGTTTTTTGTCTTTTTTTCCCTAGAATTTTCCCTTGCATGTGTGGAGAGCCATGTCTTTACTGAGATGATATGGTGGTGAGGCTTGTCTCTGTGCGTGGAGACATCATAAAGGTTTCACTGAAATTCCAATATTTTGCTACAGGACCTTTTCCAGGAACTCCACTGATTTCCTATCCTCTACCCCCTTCCTAGACCTCCGCTTCCTGTTGTTCAGGTGTCAGTGAGCTTTCAGGAATTCCTTCTCTTCATTCCTTTGACTTCCATCTCTTTTCCCAGTCCCCTTCACTTTCTGGGCCCTGCATACACTGTAATATGACCGGGTTTCTAGTATTCATGCCACGAATGAAGGATGCTGGTCTCTTCCACTCTGAGCGACTCTGTGAGTAATCTGTTCCTTCAGGAAACACTTGTAATTGTCGCTGTGCTGAGCACAAGGCAAGAGAAAAAGGAAAGCGTGTGGCCCCTGCCCTGGATGTTTAGGCGCACTCCCGTGATGGAGACAGTTAAGTAAATAAAACATAGGTGTTGAAGAGAAAAATAATGTTACTTCCTTCATAGAAATGCCCCCTCTAGCTGGGTGTAGTGGCCCTCACCTTTAACCTTTAATCCTAGTGCTCAGGAGGCAGAGGCAGGTGGATCTCTGTGAGTTCAAAAGTTCAAGGCCAGCCTGGTCTACATAGTTCTAGGCCAGCTGAGGCTACAGGGAGACCCTGTCTCAAAAAAGACAGGAAAAAAAAATGTCCTCTAGTTCAAATCTCAGTGGGAAAACTATTTACAAGGAGGAAATGGGGAAAGCTTAACAGACAAAGTGACGTTTGGTCTAATGTGAAAGGTATTAAAGCCAGGTGCGGTGGCATATACCTGTGATTGGAACGCTTATGTGGCCGGGACAAGAAGATTGTGTTGAGTTCCAGGCCATCCTGGGCTACACAGTGTCTCCTAGTTAGCTTCAGCTGGCAGCTTGACACAGCCTAGAGCCACCTGAGAAGGGAGTCTCAACTGAGGGATCCCAGATCAGATTGGCCTGTGGCCCTGTCTGTGGGGCTTGTCTTGATTGCTAATTGATATAGGAGGGCTCAGCCCACTGTGGGCAGTGCCATCCCTGAGCAGGAGGTCCTGGATTGAGTGAAGGGGTGCAGTGGGGAAGCTAGCCACCTGCATTCCTCCATGGTTTCTGCCTCAATTCCTAGGTGTGCTCTGGTCCTGACTTCCCTCAGTGATGATGGATTAGTAAGATGAAGTAAACCCTATCTTCCCCAAGTTGCCTTTGTTCATGGTATTTATCACAGCAACAGAAAGCAGACTAGGACGGACTGACAGACTGAGACCCTGACTCAAAAAGCAACTGAAACAAAAAACAGAAGAAAGGGGTCAGGCTACAGATAAGAGTTCAGTGGGAGACTGCCTGCTTAGCCTGAAGAGGACCTGGGTTCTATCTGTAGCACTGCCAAAAATAAATAAGTAAACAAATATTTTGGGTAAAAAAAGCCCCAGAATAACTAAAACTATTCCTACTTCTTTAAAGATTTATTTACTTATTTATTTTTTAATATTTTATTTATTTTTATCTTTTATGTGAATGAGTGTTATGTCTGCATGTAGGTAAGTGCACCTGTGTCATTGCAATGCCGGCGGAGGACAGAAGATGCTGTTGGATCCCCTGGGACTGGAGTTACGGACAGTTGTTAGCTGCCATGTGGGTGCTGGGATTTGAACCCAGGTCTTCTGGAAGAACAGTGTTCTTAACTGCTGAGCCATCTCTCCAGGCCCTATTTGTTTTTATTTTATGTATATGAAAGTTTTGCCTGCATGTAACTTTGGAGGCCAGAAGAGGGTGACAGAACCCCTGGAACTGGAATTACAGACAGTTGTTAGCTGCCATGTGGGTTCTAGAAACCAAACCTGGGTTGTCTGGAAGAGCAGTCAGTGCTCTTGACTGCTGAGCCATCTCTCCAGCCCCTCTTTTGTTGTTTGAGACAAGGTCTTGGGCTATGCAGTCTGGCCTGGCCTTACTTGCTATGTAAGTTGGCCTGGAGTTTCTGCATCTCCTCTCTTCACCTACTGTGCCAGATAGCTTTAGTGTCACCTTGAAACACCTGGGTTGAGGGACCTCAGTTCGGGAATTGCCTCCATAGGACTGGCCTGTGGCCATGTCTGTGGGGCATCTTCTTGATTGTTGTGTGGTGTGGGAGGGCACAGCCTACTGTGGGTGGTGCCAACCCTGGGCAGGTGGGCCTGTGTTGTATAAGAAAGCAGGCTGAGCAGGGGCCAGGGGAGCAAGCCAGTAAGCAGCGTTCCTCCATGGCCTGTGCTCCAGCTCCTGCCTCCAGGTTCCTGCCCTGAGTTCCTACCTTGGGCTCCATGATGAACTGACCTGGGAGGTGTAAAACAAATAAACCCTTTCCTCCCCAAGTTGGTATTGGTCAGAGTGTTTTGTTACAGCAATGGAGAGACAAACTAGGACACCTACCAAAAATTGCAAAAATTTTTCTTTTGGAAATATTTTTTTGCCGGGAGGGGGACTGGAATCAGCAGCTCATGGCCTTGTGCTTGGGAGGCTATGTCCGCAGCCCTGGAAAGAGAATTTTGATGCCAATAAGAATGATCAACTGGGGGGCTGGAAAGATGGCTCAGCGGTTAAGAACACTGGCTGTTCTTGAGAAGACCCAGGTTCAAATCCCAGCACCCACGTGGCAGCTAACAACTGTCCATAACTCCAGTTCTAGGGAATCTGACAGCCTTTTCTGTCCTCCTCGGGCATTGCATGACATGGGTGCACTTACCTACATGCAGGCAATACACGCATACACATAAAATAAAAATAATAAAATATTAAAAAAAAAGGAATGATGAGCTGGAAGGGGAGACTTTGAATGGCAAAAAGTTAGGGTAATTCCAAAGTGAAGGTGGACAGAAGTTAATGGAAGCATCTAAAAGCAGAGTAAACATTTGGAAGTTGTTTGGTGTGTAGTGCTGGGGATCAAATACAAGGCCTACTGTCTGCCAGGCAAACACTGCGGATGACCTACACCACAGAGAACAGGCGCTTGCTTGTTTGTTTAGAGACAAGGTTCCCCCTCTGTATCCCAGGCTGGCTTTAAATTCTTCATCCTTCTGAGGTTGGCCTCCCTGGGGCTAGGCAGGGTTAGGATTGTGCAGCTAAGAGATGATTTATTCTTGCCTTTTTTTTTTTTTTTTTTTTTTTGGTCTTTTGGAGACAGGGTCTCCCTGTAGCCCCAGCTGTCCTGGAGCTCACTATGTAGACCAGGCTGGCCTTGAACTCACAGAGATCTGCCTGCCTCTGCCTCCTGAGTGCTGGGATTAAAGGTGTGCGCTACCACGCCCGGCTCTATTGTTGACGTTAAAAAAATTATAAGTTTTTTTTCTTTATTACTATTTTATGTGTACGTGTATATTGCCTGTATGTAGGTAAGTGCACACCTGTCGTGCAATGCCTGCATTGGTCAGAAGATGCTATCAGATCCCTTGGAACCGGAGTTATGGACAGTTGTTAGCTGCCATGTGGGTGCTGGAATTCGAACCCAGGTCTTCTGCAAGAACAGTCAGTGTTCTTAACGCCCGGCTCTATTGTTGACGTTAAAAAAATTTTAAGTTTTTTTTCTTTATTACTATTTTATGTGTAAATGTATATTGCCTGTATGTAGGTAAGTGCACACCCGTCGTGCAATGCCTGCATTGGTCAGAAGATGCTATCGGATCCCTTGGAACCGGAGTTATGGACAGTTGTTAGCTGCCATGTGGGTGCTGGAATTTGAACCCTGGTCTTGAGACAAGGTTTCCTGTAGGAACTCTTGGGCTGGGCTTGAATTCCTGAGACAGGGTTTTGTGTAGTCCAGGCTGGCCTTGAACTCCTGGTCCTTCTCCCTCCACCTCCTGAGTATGCTAGGGTTATAGACATGCACTACCACAGCTGGCTATGATGATACTTTTCAAGGATGTTTTAATTATTACTGTGTGGAGAGGAGCCTGAGTTCCAGGATGTATACACAGAGGTCAGAGGACAACTTCATGGAGTCAGTTCTGACCTTTCACCCTCATATGGGTCCTGGAGATTGAATCCAGGTCATCAGGCTTGGGGGTGAGCACTTTGCCCCCTGAGCCATCTTCCCAGCCCTGTAGTGATATATATGTTTTAAAGATTTACTTTTATTTTTATGTGTCTGTGTGTCTTTGTGTACATGCTACATATGTGCAGATGCCCACAGAGGCCAGAAGAAGGTGTCAGATACCCCTGGAGCTGGAGTTATTGGGAGTTGGGAGTTACCCATGTGGGTGCTGGGTACAGCATGCACTCTTGACCGTTGAGCCAGCTCCACAGCCCCCTGTGATGGTATTTGAACTATTTCTACAGTCATGGAACTATGGTGGTGATGAGAGAGGCTGCGTGAGGCTTGGGAATATTGATGATAACTCTGAGTTTGGTAGAAAAGGCGTATTCAGTGCTATGTTTTTCTGTTGCTTTAAGGCAGTCTTGCTGGGCTGGAGAGATGGCTCAGCAGTTAAGAGCACTGGCAGCTCTTACAGAGGACCTGGGTTCAGTTCCCAGCACCCACATGGCAGCTAACAACCATCTCAAGCTCCAGTTCTCTAGAGGATCTGATGCTCTCTTCTGACCTCCATGGGCATTGCATGACACAGGTGCACTTACATAAATGCAGGCAATATACCCATACGCATAAAACAAATAAATAAATATTTAAAAAGGGCAGTCTTTCTATGTGTATGTAGCCCAGACTGGCCTTGAACTCAAGCCTCCAAGTGCTGGAATTGCAAGTGTGAATCACGCAGCTTCAGGACTGGCCATCTTGGGTTTGAGACAACAGATGGAGCGTGGAGGAGGCCACAGTTGGAGCCCGAGAGTCAGGGTAGACAAGAGTTCTGGGAAGCACATTATGAGATGAACAGTGAAATGGTGCCAAGGTTAACTCTTCAAAGGATTTTTAAGCTGGGTGTGGTGGTGCAGACCTTTAATCCCAGTACTTGGGAAGCAGAGGCAGGCAGATCTCTGTGAGATCTAGGCGAGCTTCGGCTACAGGTAGACTCTGTCTCAAATCACAATAAAAAATTAGCTCAGGGTAACCTCAAAGTTAGTATGTAGCCCAGGCTGGTCTTGAGCTGAATGTGTTCTGGGAATAGAACATCTCACACAGAGATTTGAAAATAATACTCTGCTAAAGAATTTACAGGACTCCTGCAGAGTTTTGCCTGGTTCAGACTTGGGTTCAGCTTGGGACTCAGGGTGAGGTCGCAGGGCTCCTGTGGAGCTTTGTCTGGGTGCAGGCTTTGTTTCATAGGAACTCAGGGTGTACCTTTGTCTTGACCCACTTTGCTTCTGGTTTGTCACTGGACTTTCGCAGCCTCGGCTTTTCCACTTCGAGGTGCCTGCTTCCTGTTTCTGGGCTGGTTCTGAAGCCTATAGCATCTAATCTAGTTGATCTCGCACACATATGCAGCCTAGTCCCTGGCTTCCCAGACAGCTAGTTCTAAAACCTCTTATTTCTACCACCTTCGATCCTCTGCCCTTCCTTTCCCCTCCTCCCTTTTTTTTTTCTTAAAAAAACAAAAAACAAAACTGTAGCCCTAGCTCTCCTGAAACATGCTATGTAGACCAGACTGGCTCCAACCATAAAGATCTGCCTCCTGAGTGCTGGGATTAGAGGTCTGTGTTACCACACCCGGCCAAAAAAAAAAAACCAAACAAACCCAAAAACCACGCGTTCAGAGTGGCCTGGAACTTGGTATATAGCTCAGTCTGGCTTTGAACTTGCAGAACTCTTCCAGCTCCAGGATCTCTCTGGGTCGTCCATGCTGACTTCAAACTGATCAGCCTCCTGCCTCAGCCTCTGAAGTGTTTAATGCTGACAGGACAGCAAAGGCAGTGTCAAGAAGAGAATGAGGGACTAACCAGGTGTGGTGGCACTGCCTTTAGTCCCAGCACTCAGGAGGCAGAGGCAAGACCTAGTCTAACAACAAACAAGAGAATGGCTAGTGTTGTGTGTGATGACTCAGGCCTGGAACCCCAGCATTCAGGTGGCTGAGGCAGGAGGAGTTAGAGGTAGCATCCTCCTCCCATCTGTCCTGCTGTACTTCCTTGGTTGTGAGTTCATTGGTCGCCTGCTTGAGTTCCTGCCCTGACTTTCCTCAGTAATGGGCTGTGACCTGCAAGTGAAGTCAAATAACCCCTTCTTCCCCTAAGTTGCTTTTGGTCACAGCAGTAAAATGAAACATGAGGGGCAGGAGAGATGGCTCAGCGGTCAAGAGCACTGGCTGCTCTTGCAGAGGACCTGGGTTCTATTCCTAGCACCCACATGGCAGCTAAGAACTGACTGTAAACTCCAGTTCCAGGACTCCGACGCCCTCTTCTGGTCTCCTTGGGCATTGTACGACCAAGGTGCACTTACATATATGTAGGTAAAACACTCATACATATAAAAAGTAAATGAAATTGAGGAAAAGGAAACTGTAACAGCCTGTTTATGCAGAGCCTCCTGGCGGACAACCTCAGGTGGGAAGAGTCACTCTTGTGGGTTTGGGACGCTTCATAAAAGCAAATTCATGCCTTTTAAGTAAAATGAGGGCAGGGATGAGAAATCTTATGTGTCTATTGGCTGACATTGCTCAGCTTAAAATAACCCAATAAAATGATTTATTTTGATTTTAGAGTATTAAAAACAATTCTTTTTTGAGACAGGGTCTCCTTGTACTCTGAGATGGCCTGAACTAACTATGTAGACCAGGCTGGCCTTGAACTCACAGAGCTCTGCCTGCCTCTGCCTTCTGAGTGCTTGGATTACAGGCATGTGCCACCACATCCAACACTTAAAATTTTTGTTTAAAAAACCGGGTCTTGGGACTGGAAATATGGCTCAGCAATTAAGAGCACTGGCTGCTCTTGAAGAAGACCTGGGTTTGATTCCCAGACTCCAGTTGCTGGGAACCCAATGTCCTCGTCTGACCTCGGCATTGCACGACATGGGTGCACCTACCTACATGCAGGCATTACGCTCATACACATAAAATAAAAATGCTAAATAAAATATTTAAAGATGGGGGGGGTATTCTGTATCCCAGGCTTCCTTCAAACTCCCTACACAGCTAGGGGTGACCTTGAACATCTCCTGTCTTTATCTCCTAAGTACTGCAATTGCAGGTGTGTATCATCATACCTGGTTTGTGCTGGGGATGAAATCCAAGGCTTCTCTCTTGCTAGGCAAACACTCCACCAGCTGAGCTACATCCTCAGCCCTTGGTTTTGTCTTTTTTCAGACAGAGTTTTATTACTGTAGCTCAGGCTGTCCTTGAAGTCTTGGCAATCTCCCTGCCTCAGCTTCTGGAGAACTGACATTTTAAGCATGAGCCAACATGCTGGTTCCCAATCGAAGTTTTTAAAAGACAAATGTGCACATTATACAAATATCAGTTTCCCTGAATAGATAAAGAAGAAACAGATATATGCTGCATTTCTGGAATGCGTTCTTACCTTTGCTACTACCAAGGGAAGGGCAGATAAGACCCAAGTTACAACTGAAGTCAGCGGTCAAGATCTGGGTCATTCTCTCTAGGGCTGGGCTACAAGTGATATATCTGCATGCATAAAACGTGTTGTTGGGCTCATGTAGTAGTGCATTGCAACTCAAGAGGCTTAGGCAGGGGGGTTGTGAGTTCAAGGTCACCTGAGCTACACAGGAAGACTATCTCAAAAAAAAAAAGTGTTGGAAATACACAAACACATTCAGACACACTAAACACTATTTTTTTGAGACAGGGTCTCACTATGTAGCCCCAACTGGCCTGGAATCTGCTTTGTAGACCAGGCTTCCTTGAACTCTGAGAGATCTACCTGCTTCTGCCTCCCAAGTGCTGGAATTAAAGGCATAAGGCATGTGCTACCATGCCCAGCTTAAACTCTCTTCATCTTTTTGAGACGGTCTCCTTGTATTCCCAGTTGGCCTGAAACTCACTATGTAGACCAGGCTGCCCTTGAACTCACAGAGATCTGCCTGCCTCTGCCTCCCAAGCGCTGGGATTAAAGGTGTGTGCCACCATGTGCAACCAAACATTTTCTCTTGATTTTAACTGAATGTATCTGTTCACTGATGTTATAGGACATGAAATAATTACTCACTGAATGATGAAAAGATTGTTTCTGTCCAAACATGGTGGCTCAGGTCTGTAATTTCAGTCTCAGTGCTGAGGATGCTGAGGCAGGAGGATTGCAATGAGTTTGAGGCTAAGGTGGGCTATAAAGTGAAACCTCTGTCCAAAACAAACAAAAAAAACCCAGAAAGAAAAGGGGAAGGAACAATGGCTTAACAGTTTCTACACAGGGCAGGTCACAGCTGCCTGCAACTCCAGCTCTAGGGAACTCCAATGCCTCTGGCGTCCTCGGGCACCTTCACACTTGTGCATGTACATACAGACACAGAAATATAATAAAAATGAAAAACAGAAAGCAGGTCTGCAGAGGTGGCACACAGCTGTAGTATCTGCACTCGGACGTAGAGGCAGTTAGGAGCTCAAGCTCATTTTCTCCTAGGAATCCAATTCTAGACCCAAACAAACAAACCAGGAAAAAACAAAAACAAAAACAAACCCATTGTTTCTGAAAGGTAAACCCTGCAGAATGTCAGAAATTCTGCAATTGGATGATTTGCTGATAAGAAGGTAGACTTACAGGCTCCTGTGTGTGGTGGTCATCTCGAAATCTCAGCATGCAGAGGTTGAAACAGGCGGATCTTGAGTTTAAGGACAGCACATAGAATGTTTTGGTCCAGCCTGTACTACAGATCCCCTCTCAAAAAATCAAAACAAGATGGCTCAGTGGGTAAAAGCACTTGCTGCCCAAGCCAGACAATTTTAATTCAATCCCTGGTTCCCATGAAGTTACCCTCTGTCCACCACATGCCTACAGTGCCACCCCGCCCCCAAATGTGCCAAGTGTGGTGGTGCATGCCTGTAATTCCAAGCACTTGGGAGGCAAAAGCAGGTGGATCTGTGGATCTCTGGGAGTTTGAGGCCAGCCTGGTCTATATACTACATAGCAAGTTCCAGGCCAGGCAGTACTACATAATGAGTTCCTGTCTCAAACCAAAACCAAACCCCAAACCAAAGCATCCTCAAATACAGACATACACATATGTATATATCATATATGTTTATGTTGCCTTTGACTTACTATTTATTGTTTTTAAAATTATTTTTATTTTATTTTATTTTTATGTGTATGAGTACATTACCTGCATGTATGTGAGTGCACCCATGTCCAGCAATGCCGCGGAGGTCAGAAGAAGGCTTCGGATTTCCCTGGAACTGGAGTTAAGGACTGTTGGTAGCTGCCATGTGGGTGCTGGGAATCGAACCTGGGTCCTCTGCAAGAGCAGTCAGTGCTCTTAACCACTGAGCTTCTCTCCAGCCCCTGTTCCTTTATTTTTATTGTAGTCAAAACCTTTTTGTATCTAAGACCCAGGTCAAATTTGAAATAAATTCCAGTCTTCAAATATGCTTTTCTTAGGCAGGGTGTGTTGGTGCACACCTTTAATTCCAGCACTCAGGAGGCAGAGGCAGGCAGATTTATGTGAAATCAAGGCCACCCTGGTCCACATAGTGAGTTCCAGGTTAGCTGGGGCTACAGTGAGACCTTGGCTCAAAACAAAAAACAAAGCCCAAAAACCGACCAACCAAATAAAAAACAAAAACAAAAACAAACCCCAAAATGCTTTCCTTCATCCTGATAATGACCAATATTTTGATTTTTTTTCCCCAAGGCAGGAAAAGTTAAGCCAGTTGGAGACAGAGTTGCAACCTGTTTGACTGAAAAACTTCCCAGGGTGAGCTCTTTCCACATGCCTTTTTTTCTGTTTGTACTTTGAATATGAATAGTGAGTATTAGGAGGCTGAGAACGCTCAGCATTCCTTATGAAAGTCGCATAGATGTAATGTGGTCAATTTTGAGTCTTTACTTATTTTGAAGACTTCTATTGATTTTTAGTTAAGAAAATGAAAACTCAAGTTTACATTTTTTGCTTCTCCAAAACTCTAGGTCTGGATGTATCACAGTAGGGAAAACAGGGTAATTTCTAACCTGGGCACTTCCTTCCTGGTTTTCTATAGCCTTTCAACATGTTTTATTTTCTCCAGTAAACAAACTTTAGGGTACACGAAATCATTCAGGCCTGCAGCTCCCTCTGCACTCATGAAACCAATGCTGTTGGAGAAGGTCTGTTTGATATTTTAAAAGTTGTGCTTTGGGCTGGTGAGATGGCTCAGCAAAGTAGAGGAGCTTGCCCCCATGCCTGAAAACTTGAGTTCAGTACCCAGGGAACCACATGGTAAAAGGAGAGAACTGACCCCCTGAAGCTGACCTCCTACCTCCACACACACACACACACACACACCACACACACACACACACACACACACACACACACAGTACATGAAATGTAATATATTTTAAGACTGTTGTGCTTCCTTTTCTCGCCATTTGCAGCTTATTACTCCTCCTGAGGCTAAAAAGTATTTCAACTTCAGATACCCACCTCCTGGAGCGGAGCGGGTATTTTACGGCAGAGCCAGTGACCCCCAGATTGCACCTTGCTTGACACATGGAATAAGATCTAAAGTTTCAGTGCAGGTAACCTAATTTTCTTCTGCTCCGTCTATACGTTATCGATTTACCAGGTTACAAAACCACACAAATGAGGCATCCGTGAAATCCGTCGGTTCCCGGCTCCTGCCCACCCAGCCTTTCCTTAGCCTGTCATCTGAAAGTGCTGATGCAAAGAAAAAACCAAAACACCTGTCCAGAGCATGTGGCAATGACAGGTTCAAACCCCAGTCAGCTTCTCCCTCAGGTGCTCAGTGGCCTCTGTTTTCCCCAGTGAAGAGAGCTGCTGTCTCGCCTTGTTAGGGAACAAGAGGACAGGCCTGGCAGACATTGGAAGAGGAGTCAGTTAGTTAACTGCTCTGGGCATAGCAGAGCAGCCTTCAATCCCAGAACTCTGGAGGCAGAGGCAGGCAGATCTTTGACTCTGAGGCCAGCCCACATTGAGACCCTCCCTTCTTTCAAAGAAAAAAAAGAAACAACAACAACAAAAAAGACAATAGCTGGACTTGGCAGAATCAGATGGATCTCTGTGAGATCAACCATAGCGAATCCAAGCCAGCTGGAGCTACAGTGAGGTCCTGTCTCAGAAGACTGTATCTGCCTGCCTGCCTGCCTGCCTCCTGCCTGCCTGCCTGTCCATCTGTCCGTCCGTCTGTCTGTCTGTCTATCTTTCTTCATCTATCTATCATGTCTATCTATCATCTGTCTAAGTATCTATCACCATCTATCAATCTATATCATCAATCAATCTATCAATCAATCTATCATCTATCTATTATCTATCTATCTATCATCTATCTATCTGTCTATCTATCATCTATCTATCTATCTATCATCTATCATCTATTTTCTATCTATCTGTCTGTCTGTCTGTCTGTCTATCATCTATCTATCTACTATCTGTCTATCTATCTATCATCATCATTATTTATCTATCTATCTATCTATCTATCTATCTATCATCTATCTATCCATCCATCCATCATCTATCCATCTATCATCTATCTGCCTGTCTATCATCTATCTATCATATCTATCTATCTATCTATCTATCGATCTATCTATCTATCTAGCTATCTATCTGTCATCTGTCTATCTATCATCTATCTATCTATCTATCTATCGATCTATCTATCTATCTAGCTATCTATCTGTCATCTGTCTATCTATCATCTATCTATCTATCTATCTATCGATCTATCTATCTATCTAATCTATCTATCAATCATCTATCATCTATATCTGTCTGTCTGTCTGTCTATCTATCTATCATCTATCATCTATCATGTATCATCTGTCAACCCCATTTTTTTCTTTTTCTTTCCTCTCACTCTCACTCTGTAGCCCAAGCTGGCCTCAAACACACAGCAATCCTCCTTCGACCTCTGAAGTTCTGGTGTTACAGGACTGTGCCACCACAACCAGCCTGATGCAGATGTTCTGAGAGATCTTGTGGATATCCAGATTTGAGTCTTGTGCTTGTCATGTCCACTGGAGTATTCAAGGCTGTGTCTTCAGATCTTTTTAAATTTTTGTATTGTTTAAGGTACTTGTGGGGAGGGCGGGGAGGCTTGAATCTACAGCTTCATGAGCAGTCCGGTACTAAACAATACCTCCATCCCTCTTCGGTTGTTGAGAAAGAGTCCCACTATGCTGCTTAAGCTGGCCTCAAAGGCTCTCTGTAGATCATACAGGCTTGAACGTGCTATCCTGGTGTCTCAGTTCCCCAGAAGCTGGGATTGCAGACCTGACTGGAAGTTCTTGTTTAAGCATGTTTAAACTTTGCCAAACTGATTGTGATCGTTTCTGGAAGGTGAACAGAGCCAATGATGAGGGTGAAGTATGTCTCTTCAATCATTTTCTCTACTCTTCTTATTGATTAGAACTTTAGCTTTCTGACAGAACTTTTTTGATACATCTGTGCATTGTGTAATTTCTTTAGGTGAGAACACTAGTAAACCCTCAGCCCATTACTAAATTCCAACAGAAAATTAAAGACAAAAAAGAATCTATATATTTTAGCAATCAATGGGCACCATTGGGAAAGTCTCATGATCAAACACCAGGATTACCTAAAGGACTGGATGTAATCAACACGACATTTGGGACACCGATCATCAGAGGTAGAGAAAATCAGTGGTGGGGGAGGTGGGGCAATAAGACTTTATTGGATCAAAAATCTTTCATTTGGTTTTTGGTGATAGCTAAATGATTATTCAAGAATGAAAGATAGCCAGCTGTGGTGGGGCATGCCTTTAATTCCCCCACAGGGGGTGGGGGGCAGAGGCAGGCAGATGTCTGTGAGATTGAGACAAGCCTGGCCTACATGGTGAGTTCCAGGTCAGGGGGGCTACAGGGAAACCCTGTCTCAAAAAGACCAAAAAAAAACCAACAAAAAAACCAAAAATAAAAAACAAAAAACAAAACCCCAAACAAAACAAAACAAAACAAACCTTTCAACTAAAAAGCCTATTAGATTATTTTTCCTTAGGTGGTAACATTTCCTCTGAACGTAAATTATGCTCCAGTTGCAAAAGTCTGTAGTTGTAACTTACTGCTTCAGGTCTAGAGTTAAAATCTATTAAAATTTGAAATTCCTCCCTTGGAGCCCCTCCCACTCCTGAAGTTCTTTCCCATTTTACCTCAGTAAATCTATGTCTGCTCTGCTTAAGAAAGTGTATTTTTTTTTTTTTTTTTTTTTTTTTTTTTTTTTTTTTTGTCTTTTTGAGACAGAGTCTCCCTGTAGCCCCAGCTGTCCTGGAACTCACTATGTAGACCAGGCTGGCCTGGAACTCACAGAGATCCGCCTGCCTCTGCCTCCCGAGTGCTGGGATTAAAGCCTTGCACCGCCATGACTGACTCCGAAAGTGTATTTTAGAACAGAGAAAGTATCTTATTTTCAGTAGGATTAAAAAAATCCAGTTTATGGGGCTGGAAAGACGGCTCAGTGGTTAAAAGCACTGGCTGCTCTTGTAGAGGACTGGGTTCAGCTCCCAACACCCACATGATAGCTAACAACTGTAAGTCCAGTTCTCCAGTTCCAGGAGATCTGATACCTTCTTCTGGCCTCCATGGGCATTGCATGCATGGGTGTACTTATATTCATGCATGCAAAACACTTATTCACATAAAATAAAAATAAAGGTTAGGCTGGGTGTGGATTAGAAAAAAGTCCTGGATTGGGATGTAGCTCAGTTTTCAGAGTGCTTGTCTAGCATGCAGGAAGTCCTTGGTTTGATCTCCAGTACTGTATAAACCTCGTGTGGTGGTGTATTTCTATAATCCCAGCACTCTGGCTGGAGAGATGGCTGAGTGGTTAAGTGCGTTTGCTGCTCTTGGGTTCAGTTCTAGGTTCAGCTCCCAGCACCCACAGGGTGGCTCACAACTTCAGTTCCAGAGGATCTGATGCCCTCTTCTGACCTCTACTGGGCAGCAAGCACACACGTTTTGCACTTACATACACTCAGGCAAGCACCCATATACATAAAATAAAAACAAGTCTTAAAAATAATTCCCATCGCTTAGGAGATGGAGGCAGGAGGATCAGAAGCTGCTTATCCTGTCTCGAAACAACAAAAATTCTACGTGTTTGAACTGTTAAGAAGCATAATGAGATGCTCAGCAGGTAAAGGCACTTGCTTTGCAAGTCTGGAGACCTGGACTTGAGTCTGGTGGAAGGAAGGAACTGACTCCACAAAGTTGCTCTCTGGCCTCTACGATCATGTGCCCTGGAATCTGTACCCCGCCCCCATCATGCACATATATACATATAGTCATAATAATAAATAAAAACTTTAAGTAGAAAGCTGGGTGTGGTGGTGCACACCTTTAATCCCAGCACCTGGGAGGCAGAGGCAGGTGGATTTCTGTGAGATGGAGGCCAGCCTGCTCTATGTAGATATAGCACTATAGTAATTATATAATAACCGCTCTCTAGGATCCGTTCATTTGCTGTAAGAAGTACTGTTTACTACTCAGCTGGGTATGGTGGTTCATGCTTATCGTTTAGGCACTTAGGAGGTTGAGGCAGAAGGGTCAGGAATTCAAGATCATCTTTGGCTATATAGCAAGGTGGAGTATAGTCTGGGCTACGTGAGACCCTGTCCCAAACCAAACCGAACCGAACCGAACCGAACCGAACCAAACCAAACCAAACCAAACCTTCAAAAATGTGTATTAACAGGTGCAGTGGTTATGTGTCAAGAGGAGTTCTTTTTCTCTTTGGCTTCATTGTCTTCCTGAAAACAGGTCGAGCCTTATCACTGCCCAGGAGCCATCTGGGAGAAACCAGCCAACGTTCTCACTGTAGCTGGGCCTGCGCAAGCGGACCCTGCACAGTCTGATGCTGAAATACTGGCCCACCATGTACAGGCAGTGTTTCCTCATTGAGTCCAACTGAGTGCTTGTGCTGGGCAGCTCTAGTTGTTGACTTGACACACCTCTGCAGAGGCAGCCTCAACTGGTGAATTGCCTCCATTGGACTGACCTGTGGCCTTATCTGTGAGGCACCTTCTGATTACTGAGTGATGTGGGAGGTTCCCAGCCCACTGTGGGTGGTGCCATCCCTGGGCAGGTGGGCTTGTGGTGTATAAGAAAGCAGGCTAAGCATGGGCCGGGGGAGCAAGTCAGTAAGCAGCGTTCCACTATGGCCTGTGCTCAGCTCCTGCCTCCAGGTTCCTGCCTTGGGCTCCCTCAGAGATGAACTGTGACATGTAAGCCAAATAAACCCTTTCCTCCTCAAGTTGGTATTGGTCAGAGCGTTTTGTCACTGCAATCGAAGGCAAACTAGAACAGTGCTCTTCCTTGAAGTACTTAATTTTATTGTTTTAATGGCAAGGCCTTACTTCATACTCCAGCCTCGAACTCATGTTGATCCTCCTGTCTCTACCTCCCAAGCACTAAGATTACAGGGTAAACAACTATGTGGGGCTTGAGTTATTATTCAAGATATCTACTCAATGAAGAGACCATGTTATCTTTTACATAAAAACAATAAATTAAAAAAAACCCAAAATGCTGGTTTATAGGAATTTTTTCTGCACTAGAGATTGGATACTAGTCAAGCATTACGTCTCTGAGCTACATCCTCAACCCTCTTTAGTTTTTATGTTGAGAATGGATCTCACAACATAGCCTATATTGGCCTGGACCATGGACTCCTGCATCTGCCCTGGGAACGATGGGACATGTACCACCACACTGACTTTTATAAGATTGTTTCAAGTGGAACATCTTCCATGGTGTGTGTTGATTGACTGACTGACTGACTGACTGATTGATTGTTGGACGTAGGGCCTGGGGTCTCATGCATGCCCGGCAAGCGGTCTACCACAGAGCAGTCCCTCTACCCCCAACCTCCGATGTCTTAATTATTAGTTTATAGACTTCGGTTCTTAGCAGAAATGTGAAAGATGTGGCTCAGTGGATAAAGGCACTTGCCACATAAGCCTGCCAACCTGAGTTTGATCCCAGAACCCATGTGAAAAACTGGATTTGGTGGCATGCGTCTGTGATCCCAGCATTGCTACAGTAAGATGGAAGGCACAGACAGAATTGTCCAGAAGCTCATGGGCCAGCTAGGCTGGAGCACACAGCACAGCAGCAGAAACAAGAGCTGTCCTGCTTCCACAAAGTGGAAGGCAAGCACTGACTCCTGGAAGTTGTCCTCTGTCCTCTCCATGCACACATGTGCACACATATGGACACACACACAAACACAAATAAATAGATCAGCAATTGTTGCACAGTTGGCTCAAAATGTGTCATTGTGGCTGCGATGGTTAATCTTGGTTGTCAACTTGACTGGATCTGGAATCACCTAAAAGACATGCCACTGGGCAGCTCTATAAGGACATTTCCTGGAAGGATTAACTTGGGGGGAAGACCCATCCCACCAGAGTAGATGGCATCTTCCAGTGGTAGTCCAGATATAAGGGGTCCAAGTGAAGAGCTTTTGCTTTTGGCTTTGGCCTGCTTGCCTTTGCAACTTGCTGGTAACCTCATCTACTCTGTTTCTGCCACTGCTGCTCCCACTGTTAGGGTTTGAGAATCGAGAATAATTCCCACAGATACCCAAAAACATTATACAAAAAGTTTATTTAAGAATTTAAAGTTAAAAAAAGAAACCAAATGGCGGTTAGCCAGGCACAGACTTCACTGATTTGGGAGGTAGAGGTCAGAGGATCAGGAATTTAAGGCTATCCTCGGCTACATACTGAGTTTAAGAAATTCTGAGGAAGCTGGACCTGGTGGTACTGGCTTGTTACTTCCCTTGTTACTGTGACAAAATACCAGACAGAAGCGGCTTAAGCAAGAGGGATTTATTTGGGCTTCTGTTTTGAGAGGGTTCAGTCCATCATCTTAGGGAAGGCTGGTGGAGTGAGGTCAGCAGAGGTGTGCACCTGGGATTCCTTGAATCTGTGTGGACCAGGAAGTAGACAGTGTGGACCAGGAAGTAGGGGGTGTGGACCAGGAAGTAGAGAGCGTGGACCAGGAAGTAGAGGGTTGGGATCGATGGGACTGTGGACTATGCCACTCAAGGCCTTCGGCTCAGCAACCCACTTCTTCCAGTGTAGCAATGACTTCTCCAGTGTGGACATAATGTAGACTTGACTTCTACCTAACCTTGCCATCAAAAAGCTACTGTCTATATTGTGAACAAGCTCACTGAGCCATGCATTCCTCCTGTGACCAGGGCACCTGACCTTAATTCCTCAGGACCCCTCCTTGCCCTCCACTTAAGACAGTGAATAAATGTGCCTGTGAATGATTTACATACCAAAGTTCTGGAAGCAGTGTGCTTTTCAGTGAGATACTTGTCTGTATGTGTGTGTGTGTGTGTGTGTGTGTGTGAGAGAGAGAGAGAGAGAGAGAGAGAGAGAGAGAGAGAGAGAGATGCTAGGAGGCCTAGGGATCAAATGGCAAGATTCTGTGATAAGGAGCGTGGGCTCTGACTTCTCCTTACCCACTTCATGCTGGAGATGCTGTTTCAATAAAGAATGTGCAAAGCTTTGGCTTGGGAGCACAATTATGAGAGACATGTGAAGGAATGGGTGCTCAGCAGCTTGGGTCTGCTGTTGGCCTTAAAACGAATGGTAAGACCCAGGCTGATTTTTTTCTTTTAATTAACAGTGTACTGTGGCTTAGAAACACTGCACTCCACCTGTGTCCAGCCTACTCAAACTTTCACAACCTCCCCAAATCCTGCCACGAGAGGGTCAAGAGTTCAAACACATGAGCCTCTATGGGACATTTCTCATCCAAACCATGATGTAGCGTGTACCTGTCTGTAGTCACAGCCCTCGAACAGATGAGGCAGGAGGATCTCAAGTTTGAGGCCAGCCTGGATGTAAATACATAGCAGGATCCTGTCTCAGAAAAACCAAAGGCTGCTTTGCTTGGTGGCACACGCCTTTAATCTCAGCACTTGGGAAGCAGAAGCAGGTGGATATCTGTGAGATTGAGCCCAGCCTGGTCTACATAATGAGTTCCAGGCCAATTGGGGCTACAAAGAGATCTTGTCTCAAAAACCCAACAAAATAAAATGTAAAACAAAAACAACCACAAACAAACAAAAAACATAAAACCAAAAACCTAAAAGAACCAGAGCTCCGGCTTAGTGTCAGAGGGGTTACCTAGCGTGCGTAAGGCCATGTGTTCAACCACCAGCATTTGAAAAAGTAAAACAAGGACTGTAAGACAATTCACTTTATACAGAGCTGGGGACTTGTGGCAAAAGGAATTTCTTCCTGGTTCCGGTGAATTCCATGGTATCTCTGTTTTGGTTGAGGATGGAGATTCATATCAAAATAGACTCAGTTACAAAATAGACTTCAAGTTACAGCCGCCAAAGTTTGTACCATGTGTGTCCACAGGACATCATGTGTGTCCCACAGGATATCATGTGTGTTCCACAGGACATCATGTGTGTTCCACAGGACATCATGTTTCCAGTATACAATTCAGATTTGCTTACATCATCTCAAGAAGTTGAAAACAGGCTTAGAGAGGTGGCTCAGTGGTTAAGAACACACACTGCTGTTCCAGAGGACATATAAGCTCAGTGTCCAGCAACCCCACCGAGTGGTTCTGTACTATAACTCTAGCTCCTGGAGGTCTTGATGCCCTTGGTTTCCATGGGCACCTGCACTCATGTGCACATCACACACACACACACACACACACACACACACAATTTAAGAAGAATTTCAGAAGCCTTTGAGAGGGAACTGACACTGATTCTAGCCACTCCAGTAGCTATCAAAGTGCCTGAAAAAAAAAAAAAACCTGAGTCCATCACTCTCGAGTCCAGCCTTGGCAGACAGAAGAAAAATGAAGAACCCAGTGGAGGGGTGCTTTTGGAAGCCCTCATCAAGAAATTCCAATGGACTCTGATATGAACATTTGAAATTTGCCCAGTTCTGACTTTTTTCTGGTTCCCTGTCTAGAATTTGTAATGCTAACTACTCTTGCCTTTACTTCTCCTTCACATCTATTCAGCAGTCAAGGACCTTCTTTTCTCACCCTGCGTCCCGGTTCAGCATGGAAGAAGACAGAGCAGTCTGCGTCCCTATTCCCTATTGGTAATTTGGGTAACCCCTTCAGAGGATGGAGTGATAAGAATAGGAGGTAGGAATTGGCTAGGCAGTTAGGGTAAAAAGACCCCAGAGAAAAGTAGCCAGTTTCTTGGCTAAAACTCACAATGTCCTTGGGCCTCTTAGCAACATACTCTGTTTCAAAGGCCAAAAATGTCAAAAGTATTTGGGAGCTTTTATCTAATCCTTAAAATATTTTAGGGTTACCTCTTCAGATGGGGGAAATGTTAGAGTAGCAAAAAGCCCCATAAAAAAAATAAAGAAGAAAGAGTACATGAAGTTGTTAAGAAAAAAGTGATGGGGTGATATGGGAGGAGTTGGAGGGGAGGGAGTGGGCATGGATTTGATCAAAACACATTATATGCATGTATGAAATTCTCAGTAATTTTTTTAAGTTAAAAAAAAGTGAAAAAATACTAAAGCAAACAGAAAAAAAAAGAGAGTACATGAAGTTGGGGGATGGATTCTGAGTATGATAAAATACATTGCACAAAATTCTGAAAGAATAAAAGTATTAAGAAAACAATTATAAAGACCAAGGCTATCTAGAACCTCAGGACTGGGAATTTAACTGCACTTGGAACATGGGACATGGTTGAGGGCAACTTTAATGGCTCTTGCAGAGTTCTAGTATTCAGAATTCTAGGAAGTGAGCCAGGTCAAGTGGGGGCTCTACAGCAATACATTGCACAAAATTCTGAAAGAATAAAAGTATTAAGAAAACAATTATAAAGACCAAGGCTATCTAGAACCTCAGGACTGGGAATTTAACTGCACTTGGAACATGGGACATGGTTGAGGGCAACTTTAATGGCTCTTGCAGAGTTCTAGTATTCAGAATTCTAGGAAGTGAGCCAGGTCAAGTGGGGGCTCTACAGCAAAATGACACCTAGACTTGCCCCTTCCCCCCTTCTTCCTTCCCCTCCCCTCCCTCTCCCTCCTCTTCCCCTCCACTCTTCCTTTCCTCTCTCTCCTTTTCTGATTGTGTTTTGGGGGACAGGGTCTCATGTAGCTCCTTGAATTTACTATGCTTGGCTTTGAAGTCCTGGCCCTCCTGCCTCCCTCTCCCAAGTGCTAGGAGTCTGGGCATGTGCCACCACATCTGGCTCACCATGACTTTCTTCATTTTTGTTTATTTACTTTTATGTGTGTGTTTTGTCTGCATGTATGTAAGTACACCCATGTTGTGCAGTGCCTGTGAAGGTCAGAAAAGAGCATTGGATCCCCTGGAACTGGAGTTACGGGTGGTTGTTAGCTGCCATGTGGGTACTAGGAACTGAGCCAGATAGCACTCTTAGCTGCTGAGCCATCTCTCCAGCCCCTCGTCTTCTCTTCTTGATAAATTTTCATTATGTTGGCTCTGTGGACTCCCAGGCTATAGCTTATGAAATCAGCAGACCACATTTGTTATTTGGTATTTAAAGAAGGAAAGGAAGGACACGACCTTTATGTTGTCTCTCACCATGATTATTTTGCTGGTAAGTTTCCTCCAGTGCATAGTGGGTCTGGGTCTGAGGATAGAGCACCCTCAGATTTGTCAAGCAAAGGACAGAGGATAATGTTCATGTAGTTGATGATTGATGTGTAATGTAGGTGATCAATAAATGGCAATTTGCTATTATAACATCATAAACCTTTGTTTGTGCTAGCTGGGGCACACAGACTTATACATCTAATGTACAAAATATAGCTAGCCATGGGGTGCCTGATTGTGATCTCATCACCTGAGAGGCTGAAGTCAAAGGGCTGCAAGTTTGGTTTATCAAGCAGCACGTTGTGAACCTGTGTATCAGAAGTCGGGTTTGTGGTGGCTTTCTGATAATCCTAGCACTTTGGAGGCTGAGGTAGGAAAATTGCCATGAGTTTGAGGCCAAACTGGGCTACACAGTGAGTTCCTGGGCTAGAGTGAGACCCTATCTCAAAACAACAGTAACAACAAATAAATACAGCCCTACTTGTGTATTAAAATGGAAAATGGGGCTGTGGAATGGTTCACTGGGTAAAGATGCTTGCTATGCAAGCCCGACAAATTGAGTTCAATCCCTGGAGCCTACATAAAAGTGTTAAGAGAGAACAGAGTTCAGAAGTTGTCCTCTCAGGCAACTGTGAGTTCAAGGCCAGCCTGGTCTACATAGTGAGTTCCAGGCCAGCCTGGTCTACATAGTGAGTTCCAGGCCAGCCTGGTCTACATAGTGAGTTCCAGGCCAGCCTGGTCTACATAGTGAGTTCAAGGCCAGCCTCGTCTACATAGTGAGTTCCAGGCCAGCCTCGTCTACATAGTGAGTTCCAGGCCAGTTGGGGTCACAGGGGGACTCTGAAGAAACAAAACCAAACTAAATTAAAAAACCAAAACAACAACAAGAACAAAAAGTTGTCCTCTGACTCCACCTGTGCTCTGAGGTGCACACGGCCCTGCATCATGAACACGCACACAGCAATAATGAAGTAACTTACTTTTATTTTGTGTGTACGAGTGTATTGCTTACATGTAGGTAGGTGCATTCGTGTCATGCAATGTCCATGGAGGTCAGAAGAGGGCATTGGGTCTCCTGGAACTGGAGTTATGGATGGTTGTTAGCCGACATATGGGTGCAGGGAATTGAACCCGGGCCCTCTGCAAGAGCAGCCAGTGCTTTTAACTGGTGAGCCATCACTCCAACCCCTAAAATAAATAATTTGAAGAGTCAGCTTAATGAAATGTTATGTGGACTTATTTTGTTTAATGGTTTTAGCTTTAAAGGTTACTGTACTTATTAAACTATTTTTCCTCTTAGAATATTTCTAGACTGAATTTATGCTGCCCAGGATGGTTCTGAACTCCCAGGCCTAAATAATCCTTTCTCCTCAGCCTCCTGCTGGCTGGGACCACAGGTGTGCACCACTATGCTGTGCTAAATGTTAGCTTTATTTTAAATGCTTAGTTTTAGATAAAAAAGTATTGGGTGATGGTCAAGTACACATTATGAATTGGGGAAGTCAAGTTCAAATCCTAGCTTACCCTTAAGGTTTAGAACCTGGGCAGCTCATTTACTAGTTATTCTTTTTTTATCTCTTCAATGGGTAACGTGAGGATGGGACACATGCAAAATCCTTAGCACAGTGGCAGAACACCAACCACCTGCCCTTATTACCTGAACTTGTCTAAGGCATCACAGTACTACAGTGATGGAGCACAAATAAAAGGCACTACTTAAATCGTTTTTTGATTTTTTAAAAATTTATGTATGTGAGTGTTTTACCTCTATGTGTGTAAGTATACCCATGTCGTGCAATGCCCATGGAGGTCGTAGAGGGCGTCAGATCCCTTGGAACTGGAGTTCAGATGGTTGTTAGCCACCGTGTGGGTGCTGGGAACTGGACCCAGGTCCTCTGCAAGACCAGCCAGTGCTCTTAACCGCTGAGCCCTCTCTCCAGCCCCCAAAAGACATTAAATGTTATAGTGCTGTAAAATACAACTGAAATAAAACTGTGTAGATGCCAGTCTTGATATAGCCGAGAAGTGAGAGTTAGATTCTGCTGTGTCTTGAGAAAGCCTGCCTGCAGGGTGCCCTTGTTTGTTCACAGCTGATCCCTGCTGATTCCCTCAGTCCTTCCTGTGTCCCCAGGCACCACTCAGCCTGCCTCTGTTCTTGCTGGTGTGGACATTGCCTTCCTTCTTGCGCCCTTGACTCTTCTTATCTCTATCCCTTCTGCTTCCCTGACTCCCCTCCTTCATGTCTTCTCCTCTTCCTGCTCTCCCATGCTTATGAAAAAAAAATGAGACAGGGTCTCACATAGCTCAGGCTTTAAATTTGTTGAGGCTTGCTTTGTGGCCTATACTGTGATCAATTTAGAGGACATTCCAGGCACCACTGAGAAAAATGTGTGTTCTTTATGCATTGGATGAAATATCTTACAGGTATTTGTTAACTCCAGTTGATCTTTATTTTTAGATAAGATCTATGTCACTCAGGCTAGCCTCAAACTCAGACTCCTCCTTGGCCTTCTGAGTGTTGTGATTGAAGGTATGAGTGACCATACTCTCCCATATGTCTGCTTTGTGCCAGAGCACAAGTTTTGTTTGTTGAGGCAAAATTTTGCTATATAGCCCAGGCTGATCTGGAATTCAATACATAGCCCAGGCTATCCTAAAACTCACAGTAATCCTCCTGTTTTAGCCTTGTGATGTTAGTTTCCCCATTATGATGTGTTTCTATGTCTGTTTTTGTGTGAGTACCATACTATTTTGATTACTATAGTTTTATAATATAATATCGTTTTATTTTTATTATAGTTTGTTGGTAGGGATTGATTACCAGGCTTTGTCTGTGTGAAGCTCAAGTTCTATTACTGAGCTCCATTTCTAGCCCTTGTGATTTTATATCACACACACACACACACACACACACACATACACACACATACACACACACACACACTCACATATGCTGGCTTAGAAATTGCTATGTAATTGAAGGTGACCTTAAAATTTTGATCTATGGGCTAGGACCAGGCTCATGATTAAGCTCAGTGCTGTAACGTGGATTTGAGTTTGATTTCCAGCACCCACATCGGGCAGCTCAGCTATAGTAATCTAAACAGTATGGTACTGACTTACATGCTGTAACTCTAGCTCAGGTGGATCCAAGGCCCTCTTCTGACATCTGTGGGCACCTGCACACACATGGCAGACACACAGATACACAGACATACACATAATAAAATTCTGATCCATTTGCCTCTACATCCTAAGTGCTAGGTCATTCTTTGCTGGGAATTGAATTTCTATATTGCTTTAAGAAGTCTGGGCATTAAAAATTTATTATTTATTAATGTGTGTCTGTGTGTGTGTCTGTGTGTGTGTCTGTATGTGTCTGTGTGTGTGTCTGTGTGTGTGTCTGTGTGTGTCTGTGTCTGTGTCTGTCTGTGGTCTGTGTCTATGTGTGTGTGTCTGTGTGTCTGTGTCTGTGTGTGTGTGTCTGTGTGTGTGTGTGTGTCTGTGTCTGTGTCTGTGTGCCACAGAGTGCATATGGAGTCAGAGGACAACTTTCCAGAGTTGATGCTCTCCTTCCTAGGAATGAACTCAGGCTTGGCGGCTGGCACACTTACCCTCTGTACTGTTTGGCTGGCTCCAGTATGATCCAGTATGAGTGTTTTAACGATGTAGATTTCCCTGATCTGTGACTATGGAATGTCCTGCCACTCGTGTCCTTTCCAGTTTCTTTTATCAGTGTTCTGTGCTTCTCAGCACACAGGGTTAAATTTATTCCTAAGTGCCGTGTGTGGTGGCGTGTGGGCCTATTGTCCCAGCTATTAGCAGGCTAGCGTAGGATGATTCCTTGAGCCTAGGACTTTGACGTCAGCCTGGACAACAGTGAGGTCGTGTCTCAGAAAATGAAGCAGGGCTTGCAATGCTCAGTGGTGGGTAGCCTGCCTGGTATGTGCAAGGCCCTGGGCTTGATCCTCAGCCTCGCCAGCCAAGCAAGCAACCTACTGAAAAGCTCATTCGTAAACATTTCATTGGTCGATGTTATTGCTATTGGTTGATTGCTTTCTCCATGTTTTGTGCTAGGTAGTTATCATTATTTACTGATAGCTTTATTTTGTATTTTTTGGCTTTTTGAAACACATTCTCAGTCTGTGACCCAGACAAGCCTGGCACTCACTCTATAGCCCAACCAGGTCTGGAACTCACTATGTGACCCAGGCCAGGTTCAACCTCACCATCCTCTTGTCTCAGCTTCCTGAGTCCTGAGAGTTCAGGCATAAACTACCGGCAAACTTTCCATATGTTTCCATGAAGAACACGGTGCGGAGCATCCATGGTCTCCCAGCTCGTGTAGGGGAAGACCTTCGCCATCTGTGCCAACAGTGCCAGGTCTGCACAGCTCCCAGCTCTGTTACGGTTCCCGTCTGTCCCACGCAGTCAGTGTCAGTGGGAACACAGCGTGTGCTTGCTTAAGATAAGGTTATCTGTGCCGCTTAAGTGAGAAGTCTTCCCCTCCTACAACCCACAGGAGAAGCAAAGAACAGAAAGTATAACCCAGCGAGTTTCCATAGGTTTGACTTGTATGGAGTTCCGACGACACATTTTAATGATGGACGTACCATGGCCAAAACTTTACATTGGCTCCATGAACTGCAAATGTAAGTGTGATTATATCTGGTCCAGGAATGTTAGATATTTAGCATTTGCACCTAAATAAATATCTATTTCAAATTTATTTCAAGAGATAATAAATACATTGACATGACTCAACACAACATTTATAGAAAAAATAGATGATGAAGTGTTTGGGCTGGAGAGATGGATCAGCACTTAAGAACACTAGCTGTTCTTGCAGGAGACCCGGGTTCAAATCCTAGCACCCACGTGGTAGCTAACAACTGTCTATAACTCCAGCTCCAGGGGATCCAATGCTCTCTTCTGTCCTCCACGGGCAATGCACGACATGGGTGCATTTACTTACATGCAGGCAATACATGCATACACACAGAATAAAAAAAACAATAAAAAAGACACTTTTTGCTCCTTGCCCTCCTAGGTTGATTAGTTCCCAGGGATCATGAGCATCTCGCAAATTGTCCTGTAATGGTGGTGGGTCATCTGACCTCTTGATCAAGGAGGCCAAGGAGACCCCACCAGATGGACTTGAACCAGTGTCCAGTCTATAAAGAGGAGGGTCAACACAGAGGAATCATTTCCTCCATGCTTCCAAGAGAAGCCAACA